CCCCATGCACCTTGCACATCATCCCCATGCACTCGAGCACCCCTCTAATACCACAAAGGTTTTCTGATCATGTAGTGGTGGAGAGTGTATACTTGTCGTGGCACGGAATGGGAAGGCTGAGAATATTGGGCGGGAGTTCTATGGTTGTCACTACTACGTAGGTTTTACATTGTGTTGTGCTTTTGCCGATTTGATAACGTGTCATCTAACCCAATTCTTGGTTATTGTTGTAGTTTACCCCTGATAGAAGATGTAATTTCTTCTATTGGAAGGATGAGACAAGGAGTTGTCCATGTGGAAATGGATTTTGTAGGATCTTCACATCTAAACGGCCCGATCCACAAGGGAGACAATTTTGGGTTTGTGTAAAGCCCCAAGTAAGATTTATTTGTTTCTATAATTTAGTTGAATCTTCAATCGCTTAGTCCACAATATTTTTTGTAGGATGCAAGTGGGTGTAGGTTCTTTGCATGGATACCAGGGCGATCACATGTCCAACATAGCACAGGGTGCATAACCATCAAAGGAAATGGGGCAGGGCCTTCTAAAGATCCACTAGATGATGTTGAAACTTCGATCAAATGTCTGAGTTTTGTGATAAATTGTTGGGTCGTATAAAAAGTTTGTGAATCAAAGATGTATAATGCATTATTATGTAATCTTGGTATTTGGAAAATTTAGTTGAATTAAAAGCCATGTTGATGGTCTACTATCTATTATATATATTAAAACGAGAAGGGCTGGGTCTGGGCGACGTGGTCATTTTTACGTGCAGGTATCCGCATGTAAATTTGATTCAATTGTGCCAATTTTGCTCAAATGAAGGTCCATTTTATCTTTTACTTCTCCCTTAAACAATCTAATTACATATTGCCTACTCTTTCATCTTTTAGTACGTGTTGCCCATTCAAAGTTCTACCACTTTACCAAATCAATGTCGGTTAGGTTAAGGAGTATCAGTACGTGTTGCCCTCCTTCACCTGCAAATTTACCACCCAAGCGATGCCCTTCTATGATGGGAGGATATGTTGGCATACACTAGACCCAACAGTGTAAGCTCTGTGCCAATGGATGACAATACTACAACTCATTGAACCAGAATTTATAGATTGACGTGGAGAATTCAGCGGCTCCAATGCCTCCACCTACGCGTGGGCTCATTGTTGGCCGAGCTGTTTGTACCGCTAGTCTAGACGGGCAAAATCAAGGGACCCTGTTGGTCTTCAACTTGGATTCAGAAGTTTCAGCAAACAAGCTTAAAAAAATTTCCAAAGCTTTTGGTATGAATTACCAATGAATAACCAAATACCTACCCTTAGTATTTACTTGAAATTGGCCTACTGATGATATAATTTTCTGGGTTAATGTTCTCTTTCTCTGAATGTTTTAACATATATTTTTCAATGGAAAAAACAAAGCAAGAGTTAATCTTTTTTATTGGTTAATGGTGATAGGGTGGCTTATTTATTTATTTATTTTTAATTCACAACTTTCTTATTGAATGATTTTGTAATAATTTAGGGCTGGGAAGAAATTGAGAGAGATGACATCCAAACGGTTCGTGGAATTCTTTTATGTTAGAGATGCAGTTAAAGCTCCTTTGTTCTGTTGGTCATGGAAGAAGGTTATTGAACGCTGATGCTACTAACGCCACTAGCAACACCAACAAAACTACCACCGCTTCTAATATTAACACAAGAAGCTCCAACCACACAAGGAGTAGGAATTACTCTCAAGCACCAACACCTCCACCATTGCCCCCTACATTTTTGGGTCAATCAACCTCCGATTCTTCTCTAATACAGCCTTCTTAAATTCAACACTCGAATAAGAAACAAGGTTTTACTAGTACAAATATTTCTAATTGAAATAGCAACTCAAGATCAAATTATGGAGCTCTAGAAGTCTTAGCTGGTCCCATGGGTCTATAGATTGATTCAATCAATGAGAATCTTGGACAGATAAGGGTTTCAAACAACCAACTTACGGGTTCTTTTCCATGATCCATTGACAACTTTTTTGTCATTCAGAAGCTCGTCCTGGATGCGGATTGGTTCTCCAATAACATTCCGACTGAGATAGCTAGGTAGGAACAGTTTTATGTTGGAGCTAGGCCTAGGGATTTTTATTCCTTGTAGTCCTCGAAAAAGGCAATAACGAAGAAATTTCAGAAATTAGTGTCACTCCCATGCTCAGCACAGGTTACTTAACTAGTTTAGTTGAATTCAAAGACCTCAGTTTCTTGCTTTTTCGTTGGGGTTTGATAAGTTTACAAAAAACACAGGCCTGATGCATCATTTAGCTCCACGATTTTCCTTGTACGAAGCTTGGTGGTGCATAATTCCATGGGATGTGAATCCAATGATGGCTATCCAAATTCAAGTGCCAAAAGGGGAGACTCAATAGTTGTCAAAGATTTGGTGCCATGTTGGATCATGTCAGATACTGGAAAATCATATGATCTACCAATGGTATCATAAAAGAGGTGACCAATTAGGTGGTATTCATCAAAATTCATGGGTTCCTTTGATTGGTCAGTTCTTTTGAGTTTTTTCCCCTCCTCAAGCCTATTGCAGTCAATCAATTCAAATGAGAGAATACTAAGAAGGAATTTAGGGGAGAGAGTACATAGTTCATATTATGTGCGTAACAACTGCACTAGCTAGACATCCTTATGATTTACTCTTGTATCATCTTGAAGATTCTCAACACCTGAGAATCTTCACTCAATTAGATGGTTAGAATCAGTGTACAATTAACAAAAACCAGATTGAATTCTATGGCCAATTCCAATTCTACTCAATCCTAGACTTGCTGAAAACCCAAAAGCTAAACCTTACACAGAGTAACTAGTCAAGAAGTACTGGGCTAAACCTTACACACAAAACACTAGGGGCAGTCATGAGAAGCCAATTCAATAAGTCTGTTTCTAAATTCCAATTTATATTCTTTCAGTTCAATAGGACTTACTAAAAAACCAGAATCTAGTGATGTCCAAGCTATGTTGTTTTTTCAAAACAAAAATAGCTGTTCCAACAGCAAAACTATATATGTTGAATTTAGTGATGTCCAAGCTATTTTAGTGTGAGTTTTTTTCTCCTCCTTAGGCATATTGTAGTTAATCAATTCAGAAGAGAGAGTACTAAGAAGGAATTCAGGGGAGAGAGTACATGGTTCATATTGTGTGCATAACAACTGCACTAGCTAGATAGTCTTATGGCTTACTCTTGTATCATCTCTTGAGCCCTAAGTCATTAGATCACTTCTTTTAGATCTTAAGATAGTTCTTAAAAAAAAAAACAAAAAAACAAGGGTGGATCTATAGTCCACTGGTTTGTTCATCTACATGTACAAAAAACATGTTTCCTACACTAAAAAGTGTTGATCATACTAAAAAGTTAAGTGTTGTGTGGGATGTTAACCACACAGTCAAAAAAAATATCAGCATATACAATAAATACATAAAATATTGTGTTGCGTTGATCATCCACATGGTTCATACACCAAGAGTGGGATTTGTGTCCATGCATATAGTAGTTAATATGGTGGGATATGTGTCCAAATGCACACTTGCCAAGTATACTATCAACAAAAAAAATGATCATTCTTAGGCTCCCATGCCTCTATCAAGGTTGGGAATATCTGATTTTCTGGCTACTTTGTTCTTCAACCTACACACATCAAGAAAATAATGTCAGTTTTCTATTCATGACACAACATATATCAGAGAGCAATGTGCATATGGGTATTATTACTTGTCTAATTGGTGGGCTAGTGTGAATATGGTATAACCTCCCTCTGCCCCCCCC